CGGCGCGCTGCCGGCCCCCCGGCCCTCGTCTCCGGGTCCGCCGGGGAGGCGGCGTCGTCCGCAGAGCGGTGCAGGACAGCTGCCATCTTGCGCCTGTTGGGGGTGTCCGGGGGGCACCCCGACCTCGTCTCCCCGGGGCTGGCCGGGTGCTCCAGTACGATCACCTTGGTGCCGCGGTCTGGGACCCTCCTGGTCTCGACGCGGGGCGAAGGGGGGGGCTTGTCGGGGGGCGCTCTGGGCTTGTCCGGCCCCAGGCTGGCCGCCGTCGTCCCCGCGCTGTCGCTGGCCGCCCCCCCCTCTGGCTGCAGCCCAAGATCGCCTGGAGGAAGGGGGTCCGTGGTGGAGGTCGGGGAGACCCCCACCGACAGGCTGCTGGGAATCCCGGCCTGCTCCGGCCGGCTCTCCACCGTCACCTTGTGGGAAACACTCATGGACGTGCGGGGGGTGACGGCCAGGCGCGCCCCCCCCTCGCCCCCGCTGCCGGCCTCGGGGGCGCGCAGGCGCTGCATGAAGGTGGTCACTCGGATGGCCTTCTGTGGGGACAACAGGCAGGTTACAGGACCACCTCGCCGCCTGGGGACAGCCAGCTGAGGCCCCAGAACAGCCTGGCTTAAAAGCCACAGCCATTGTCTTAACGACCTCCTCAGAATACATTTCAGCTGCTCAATCCCCAGATTAATTGCTTGAAGCGAGCATGTCCAGGAGGACACAATTGCTCGCTTTGTGGCCAGGGCCCCTGCAGAGCTCAGCTGGATTTCAGGCTGTCAGTGCCGGCCAGTTCTGAGCAGGAGGTCCAGTTGACCCGGACGTCTATACAGACACGTACTGGTCGGACACAGTAGTCTGGTCCTAATGTACTGGCCAGCATTGCAATTCATTAACCAGATGGAGCAGGAAGACAGGTCCTGACAAATCCGACACGTGTTAGTAGGTGAACATTACTAAGACTGAGCATGTTGTGGTTAAAGGGTGATCTCCTACTTTTCTAAATGACGTTAAGGCACAATGTCATACAGTGTTGGACTTCGATGGGCAGAGACAAGGAAGCTGCAAAGAAACCACCTGAACAGCAAAGCTGAAGCTGCTCCACCACAAGAGGATTCGTCCAGACCTTCTCCTGCCCTGCAGAGGAGTGCAGCTGTGACCACATCTGGCCAGGACACCAGCCTGCGCCAGGTGACACCGGCCACCCGCCCACACCCTCCTCTGGGCAGGCATGGCCCAGCTGCTCTCTGCAGAGCGGAGGGGCCAAAGAGACTGTCTGATCAGGGGAACACTTTTCTCTCAGTGCCCCCACTGCTGGCTGGAGTGACAACGTGCTGAACTGGCAGCTCCCGGCACTGTTAGTATGGGACCTCTGACTGTGGCCGTAGAGACACGGCTCATGGTCAGAGAGCAGCTCAGCGTCCATTGGCCCAGAGTCACTCCAGTGATTAAGCAGGTAATCAGCGTGGAGCTCCAGACTGCGGGAGGCTGGGCTGGGCTGGACCGTGGCGCCGATGCCCTGCTCGGGTGACTGGCCACTCTGCGGACATAATGGATGCGATGAACCTCATTGGTCTTCAAAGAGAAGTCCAGCCAGCCTCTGGGGGAATGACTAGGAACTCGGAACATGTGCTTGAGATTCCTGTGTGGCTCCCCAGCTTTGAATGCATGTGCAAGAATATCTGCGTGTGAGTGTTTGTGTGTTTGTTTGTCTGTTGTGTCTGTGAGTGTTTGTGTATCTGTGTGTGTGTTTTCATGTGTCTGTGTGACTGTGAGTGTTCGTGTGTCTGTCTTTGTCTGAGTGTCCGTGTGTCTGTGTGTGATTGCTCGTGTGTCTGTCTCTCTGTCTGTGAGTGTTCGTGTGTCTGTGTGTGTGCAGATGTACCCCCTGTCTACAGATTCTCCAGTCAACATCTCTGAGTTTTCTAAAATGCTCCAGGGCTCTCTCTGTCTTTCAAGACCAAAAGGAAGAGATACTGATACACAATGCAGACCCATTATGTATCCCAAGTATGTTTCCCTTCACAAACACATGGAGACCCCATTAGATGTGTTGGAGAGCAGGGATGAAGCAGGACACTTTTTTCAGTTTTCCATCAGCTGTGGAGAGGGGAGCTCTACTGTCTTTATCCATCACTGCTGGTGACCAGAAGGGTCTCCTCCCGGCTCTGTGCTCCTTGTCTGGGTGACTCGTCCCTTCGCTGAGGTCATCACTGCTGTACCTGCCGAGCACAACTCTCTGCACTTGCCTGCACTGTCGCTGCAGGAGGTGTCACCTCCCAACACTCAGCAAACCCTCTCACAGCATTAATCCTCAGGCCTGAAGCCACGTGTGCATTTAATTCAGAGGTGATCTGCAGGGTCTGGAACTCACTCTTAAATATCAACATCCTGCATAATCAATATGTTGATTAACAATTAACAGTTGATTGGTTTAAATTGCATCTGAGAAACAAAATAAAAACTGGTTTCTATACAGTTACATAATCTGTAAGTGGGCTGCTGTACATTTGTTTAGCTGATTCTAAATACTGTAATCTAAAGAGTACATATGCAGTATTTTACTGCACATTCTGATTGAAAGGTGTAACAGCCTTATTTGAAGAAATATCCTTCCAGCCAAAAGCCAAAAGCCAAAAGCCAAAAAAGCCCTTCTCTGGTTTTCTCATAAGAGAGAGCAGAGACACCTGAGGACACACTCTCTGCTGTCTGAGAGCAGAGACACCTGAGGACACACCTGTCTGCTGTCTGAGAGAGTAGAGACACCTGAGGACACACCTGTCTGCTGTCTGGGAGAACAGAGACACCTAAGGACACACCTGTCTGCTGTCTGAGAGAACAGGGACACCTGAGGACACACCTGTCTGCTGTCTGAGAGAGCAGAGACACCTGAGGACACACCTGTCTGTGGACTGAGAGCAGAGACACCT